ACGAAAATAGTCAACTAATTTCCTTCCCAAGATCCGGAAAAATGGTTCGTAGTGCTCATTAACGGACGCCCTGTAACAAACGCAACTGCCCCAGCTCCTTTAATCTGAGCAAATATTTTAATTTTCCAAACGCAGATCTCCATGAATGGAGATTCAAAGCGGTTTTGCGATATATTAACGAGAACATGGGAAATTTTTGAACAAAAGTTCGAAACCGGTACCCGAGTAGCTGGTTATTGATATAAGGGTTAAAGTCTTAATTGGTGTTGAAAGTCTCGGTTGATCTTAAAAGTTTTGGTCCGTCTTAAAAGTCTTGGCCGGTCTTGAAACTTTCGATCAATCTCGGAAAGTCTTGATCGGTCTCGAAACTTTTAACGAGTCTTGCAATTTTCCAGAATTGTTTAATTTATAAAATATGGACGCGACAAAGTTCAACATTTAACGATTACATTATGGTAATCTTAACCGTTGGAGCTACGCGTGTAGTCATTTGTAATCGTTTGATAAAATGTAATTTTAGTTTCAGTCTTTTCTCATCGACTTCTCGATTCTATTATAATCAGAACGCGTAATCGTTTCGTAATTAATTATTAATAAGTAAATCGTTCCAGATGATACGTTTTCTTCGATTATTCGTAGCATTCATTAATCATGAATACCGATTAGTCAGTAATAATAATCATTAATCACTAGCTGGATTACATGCAGACGTTAGTCATTAATCACATTACATTTTGGGTCGCGGGTGCAAAATGACGCAAAGCCGCATGGCTCTGTTCGAAAGGGACAAAGCTGCTTTTCAGTACGTCTTTTTGTTTGTATTTGTTTCTCGTGAGCATTGCTTTGGAAAATATCAGTTTATTTTCTCCAGAAATTATCGTAGCAATATTGTTTATAATTTTCAGATGTCTTAAATCACTTCCACGGTATGACGAAAATATCAAGTCGTTCCGAACGTTATTTAAAGTTGAAAGCTTTTGTAAACTTCCAATGAATCTTCAACATTTTCAAACTTTCGAAGCTTTAAAAGGTTTCGAACAGTAGCGAAAGTTATATCAACGGTTGGTCGAGTATCGAAAACGATATAATCCTGTAACGTTTTTCTTCGATGTAGGAAGGATCGGAAAGAGACTTTCAGCGTATTTTAACCCTGTCAGTAAAGGTTTTCATCGACTCTATCGTTTCGTTCTACGTCCCTTTTCTTCGCGAGAAAAAAATTTGAATAGAGCGACGCGCACGGCTCCGGGCCGTCCATCCGCGTAAAAATGCAGCTGTTAATTAAAAATGTAAAAAGGCAAGGCACGTTCCAACAATTGCCCATAATGAAATTCAAGCCCGGATTAATAATAAAACCGTGAACGTCGCGCAGGCAGCCCGAAAAAGCGAATTAAGAAAACAATTAAATTGGAATATTCGTTAGAGTTATGGTTGTCCCGTTCGGGACGTTATTTCAAACGGATTATCAACGAGGAGGTACGCGTTGCATAAAAATACACTGACCGCTGTCACACTGTCCATCGTCACATTTCCAGATTAGTTTATTGGTCGCGTTACGTCGCATCCTCTTTTATTGCAATCATACTGAAAGGAAATGCTGCGAAAAGAACCGACGTTTTACTTTTCAATTTTGTTGACGTACCTTCCCAAAATCACATACCAAATTTCACGATTCGGAGAAAATTAAATACAAAGCGCGTTGATAAAGTTTATTTTGTTATAAGTCGTTTACTCGAAGGTTTGGTATTACGTATATTTGTAGGCGTGTTGGAGTAGTGTTCGTTGTAAGAAGGAGAAGGATTAGAGCGAAGCGAGTAACGTTTCCTTCGCGCGATAGAAATCAGTGTCAGCCATTGTAGCTAGCCCTTCGTCAGGATTAAATAAATGTCAGGACGGTCGGTGGACGATATTTGGACAGGAAGTAAGGGAAGTAAGGCTTCCGTTGGACGGTCGAGCCCATTTTCTGTAAGTACCGGAGCTCCCCCTCGGCCACTTTCGTCCCTCGAGGTCGACGCACTTTTCGGACACGCGCTCCTTCGAGCGACAAAAATCATTTCCCGTTCGATGTGTCGTCTCAGGCCTCGAAATCTCGTCTTCCTCGTAGATTAAATTCGCGCAAGTATCGAAGTATATACCAGGTTCGATCGACGCCAACTTTCATTAAAGCTCCTTTCCAGCGCGGTTAATCCTATTTGTGGTCAAGACCGAGTTTCCCGTTCTCGGAATACCAGAGAACCTATCAAATTTTTCTTCCACGCGGTTACAATAGTTTCTCGAATTCCCCCGGACCGCAACTTTCAGTACCATCTGGATTCAAATCGACGATCTCCGATATTTTCACCTCCTATAAACTTTCGTCGAACGTTCGCGATCGCCCTCTTTTTATAAATCCTTCTTTATCTGCTCTCGTGCAAAAACTCATTCTTTTTACTATAATTTGTTGGACGAAAGCGCTATAGGTCTCGAAACATCGCGAACAGCAAATGCAATTTTATTAACTCGGCGTTTAATTCGTGCAACGATATATCTTGCAAAAACACACACGACATATCGGGCATTTTCAGTACTTTCAACGGAAGCTCTGTTTCATTAATTTTAAACATTTTGCTAACGAAGTTCCAAGTATTCAACTACCATCCTTTCGCAATCTATTTTATACGTCTAATCAAATTTTTATAACCAGGACTTTCCAGGAACGAGTAATCAAATTTTTTCAATTAATCCTTTGTGTTTTTGCTGCGATATTCTTTCGTTTGCAATTGTGTCCACTCTTTTAATATTTCACGTTGATTGCTGCAATTTTACACCATGAATATCAGGAAGAAATTAAATATTTTTTGAAACGTTTAAAAATAGTGACTGTAATATGCACGGTGCCGCTGACCGTTGGCTACGGCTCTTTAATTCGCATATTTTCGTACAATCAGTCTTCGCGTAACGAGACACCTAACATCGTCGAAAATGTTTGTCCCCGCGAATGGATTCCCTGGTAGCTGCTCGGCCGAACGAGTAATTCTTTCTGCTACTTATCAACTCCAGCAGCCTGGTCTGGCAACTTTTATGGCCCCCTTAATCCGTGGTTCCATTAACGCCCGGTATACACCGTGACGAAGTCTAGCGCATTAGCGCGAAGTCAACCATAAAACTTCACAGGGACGTTTAACAGGCATCGTTTTAGGTGGTACGCGCGTCCCTAGGTAAACTCGACCTTTCCAACGCTCAGTTACCCGTTTCGGAGCTGCTGATTAAAATCGTCATTAGAACCCATTAACAGCTACTATGAAACTTTCTATCCGCGCGTCCATTACGCTGGAACCAAAAACAAAATTTTTCTAACCGCTTAGCACCATTCCATTTTCGCGATTACCCAATTTAAACGATTGCAAAGCACAAACGAAGAGATTGTAAATTCTGAAAGGGAGAGAGAGTTGTGATACGAAGGAGAGAGATAGGAATTCGAAGCTTGGAATTTGGAAGCACGGTAAAGGGAAGTAGAAATAGATAACTATGAGCGAGTAAGGTGGAAGTTAACAAAGCGATAGGAAATACGGGTGCGGTTAAGATTGGCAAGTTGGGAAGGAGAATCGTTGTCGAGCGTTTTGAAGACGAGGCAACAAAGATGGAGAGATCCATTACCACTTCGCGTTGAATCAGCCAGACTTTCCAAAGAGTGTTCCAAGTCAAAATTTCAATGAACTTTTGGAAAACAGTAGCATGTAAGAGTCGTTCGAACCATCGAAGCGTTTTTCTGCAGGAAAGGAAGAACGTGCGTCGCTGTAGCGTCGTCGAGGAAGACAAGATGGCGGGTAAAGAATTCGAAATTAGTGTTCGCGTGTCGGTTGACGTCAACGAGACGGATTTCCGGGTGCGCGCAATTATTTCGAGCGGGTCGTTCGGCACGCCTTTTACGAGCGCAACTTTCGACACTGCTCGGCTGTCGACGGACGTGCAAACATTTTCGCGGCGAGCATTTCGAAAAGCGTGGTTGCGGGGTCGTTTTCATCGTGAACGCGGCCGCGAGTTCCTTGACGTGCAATATCCTCCAGTTATTTAACGTTTATTACGGGACGGGTTCGCGAGCAGGCAAAGTTGAGCCGAAAATTGGACGACTTCGGATTCCTCTATATCGCTGGACGGCATCATGTAATTTCGAAATTACGAAACGCGAGTCACAAAGCGAAGCAAAGCAGCTTGACACAGGGATACGCGTGTAATTAGAAAAGTCCTTGAATAGCTGCGAGCAGAGGTTGGTGATTGATCGTGCGGCCAGCTTAAACGAAACGACTGACCGGCCGGTTGGATCGTAATTATCGAGAGACTCGGTTAATTGGCTTGACCGCCGCAATTGAGCTGTTCTCAACGTGTTCCGCTGTAATTTAAAGTAATGCAATCCGGTTTCTAATTAGCGTGTTCTCTATTAAAACGCCCGGAGAACTGTCGAGGCTCGCATTATGTCCATGCATTATGCGCGCGTCCATCCGATGATTTTTCACCTGCCCCCGTTAATTAGCTTCTCACCGATCGATCCCGCTGCGCTGCACCGTTCTGCTTGTCGCGCAAATTCTCCCGCTTCATGTTCCAACGATCGGCGCGCTTCTCGATCACCGGTCCAATTAAAATAATCAAATTACGCGCGTCAGTTTGATTTAAATCTTTTGGAATCACGGCCGATTGAAAATCTTTTTCAGTCACCGTGAATTCAGCCATTCGATTTTTCGTCGCTCGATTTTTACAGCCCATTCGCACGATACACCGCTCGTTTACTACAGATGTTAATTAGGGATGCATCTTCTTTCCAATTATTCCGCCAAGTAAAAGTTTTTACCGCGCACATTCCGGTAAAGACGAAGTCTGACCACGACCGGGGTAATACTACTTGCCAGACACTGTCGGCGGAACATATTTTCCCTTTTTTCGCTCTTCTACTTTTTCTGGTCTAAGAAATTCATATCTTTGATTCGATTTATAAATCTGATATTGGAAGAGATACGTTTTGCACAAAAATGTCTCGAAATATGGATCAGAAGCTGTTAGGTAAATTATGTAGCGTTGCAATTTCTGAAGCGTTTGAACAAAAACCGCGAAAATTCATTATTTAAATATTCCCGCTGATCATATCACTGACTTCGCTTTTCATGGATTACCAAAAAGGAAGGAAAAGTTATTCGCAGAGAACGAAAATACATACGCCTCGCAGATATTTCACTTTGCTGAAAAGGCGAACGTACATTACTTACTTTTTAGCTACCTTTGAGCCACGGGAGCTCAAAGGCCACTGCATCTGTATAATTTATATTAACCTTTATCAAACGGAATCTATTCTGCACGAATATTCCAGATAGGTGTAAAATGAAAGAATATTTGTTAATTGATATCAGGAAAACTTTCCCCATTTTCTCGTTATTACATTATATTATATCGAACAACCTAATAATTACGATTTTCCCTAGGAAAAAAGTTTCCTTCGTGATATATGATTCCGCGATTAAAATGCACCTCGGTTTTACTAAATATTTATCGCCGTGCCATTTTATCTTTCGCTTGATCAAATATATACCCTAATATGCTTTAAATCTTAGCGGCGTGATCGTGATCGCCTCTAGAATTTTTCACGAAAAGTGCAGAAAAGCCTAATGCGGAGGCCATTGTTAACAGTCGGTGCATGTTATCCGGGCCTGCGATCCGTATAATTTCTTTCTGGGGGCGATTCTTCTTGCCGGCCTATCTGTCAGGCCTGGGCACACGCGTACGTGCATACGCTCCAGATAAGGACGATTATAGGCCTGCTCATTACCATTTTCCCTCGCACCGGTCTGACCATTCACGACGCCAGAATAATAGCGCGATCAAAGTCAACGACAGCCGCCTCTTATCGGTCCGAAAGGAGTACTTAAACGTACACGGTCGCTTCCGTGTAACGTTTAGAATCCCATGAATTAAACGGACTGGATCCAAAGATAACGAAGACACTAACACCAGTAATGCCAGATGAAAATCTCTACGAAAATTTTCACGATTTCATTTATACGAGGAAACAGAAACAACTATTCCAGAGGCCGATGGCAAGGATTCGAGGTTAAACGTTTCCTCTACGACAGAGGAAAATTCAGAGAAATATTATACACGAGCTTCCGATGACCGTGCGCTGGCGGCAAAAAACGAGAAAAACAACAAGGCGTAGCAGAAACGGTCAGTTTGGCCTGGGTGATCCGGGGAACTCATTTCGCGCGTGAAACTGCGCGTCGCAAAACGACTGTTCTGGTTTGCCGATGGCGTGGATTGTTTCATTTCGACGCGTCGCGCGAGCATCGAATACGCGAAAGGTCGCGCGGTCTTTTCCACGCGAAATTATACCGTTTGTACGGAACAAACAGAAAAGGTAGCGGAAGTGAATCCCGACGCGTCCATAAGCCGATTCGATGCATATGTATCGACCAGATCCTCGCGTTTCTATGCACCAAGTCATCGGTCAAACATCGAAGCGGTTCTTATTCGACGTTTACCTTCTTTTATCTTCTTTTTTATATGGATATGCGCGTGATCCTTTACACCGGATGAAGGCGGAAGAAAAAAGTGACAGAACACGACGCTGATAAATGATAAGGCCGTACGAAAATATCGATGAACCGATGGACAAGCGAAAAGACGTCGACGACCCTTGGGAAGAGTGGCCTGGAGAGTAAATAGTAGAACAGATGGAACAGGTTGGATGGGAATTAATTAGAGAAAATAGAGGTAGTAGAAACCGAGACAGGAAAATGGGAAAATTGCGTGGAAGTAGAGGGGATTAAGTAAACAAAGATGGAACCCAAGAAAAGGAACGACGATCGAAGGAATGCTAAGAAAAAGAAAATAGACGAATGCTATCGATTCGACCGTCTCTTCCTACCCGTATCAGAATCTAAGACATTGAGTTCGGAAGAGAACGGAACATTAGGCTTAAAAATTCTTCGAACGAAAAATTCTCTATGAACGGAACACGTATGACAATTGACAACGGTATCGCGAGAGTGAATAATCGGAGAACATTTCGAATTCGCGACCGTAATAAAAACCGAAGAGATGTCCCGGATACGAAGGAAGGGACACCGGTAAATAGAAAAAGAAAAAGGAAACTGCAAGAGCAGGAAATGGATCGAAGCGCGGTGAACGAAGGCCGACTACGATGGAGAAACAGACGCGTGCGAGATAACGAACGACCGATCAAAGGGTGAACGTGTTTCGTATCGAATAATCGCGGCCCAGGTGAATCGCGATAAGCATTATTCGTTTAACTACCTACCTGCAGGATAATTACTTAAGCGTCCGAGCCGTTTCATCGGTTCGTGCATATATTAGACCAGGCAAAAAGTTGGCGTGGTTCTCAACGTGCAAATTTCTATAAGAACGCTACCAAAAATCGATTCACGAAGCTTGTAGATCGGAATGCTCCCGTGATTCCCTTTTATATTTACGCAAAACTGTAGGTTTTCGATTTCCCGTTGTCGCGCCGATTCGGAACGCAGTCGAATCAACGGGATTCGTCGTCGCGTTTTTACGATCGTCCCGCGACCGTCATAAAATTGCAGATTCATAATCGCGAAACGACGGGTAGCGTACGCGTTAGAAAACTGCAATTTCAGTTTCATCAAGCTGATCGTTGCACCGTTGGATTTAACGTCCCTCTTTATCGTCGCAACGGTGGTCGATTAATTCCACTTTCCGGCAAATTAATAGTGCCCTTCGCTAATTGGGTTTGCAAATGAAACGCGATTCGCTTTCGCGGCGACAATGGGACGCGAGCGAAAAAATTCATTTTCGCGGAGCGAAATTTTTGCCGGAACGGTGAAACATCAGCCCGCGCGCGCTGCGTGAAATTGATGAATCGCGTTTGGGGAGAGGAAACGAGAATCACGCGAAACGTTCGAATTACGGATGAGATAACTGCCGGTCAATTGTGGTTTCGTCGCCCTTGCGATATTTCGTCACCCTGACAAGGCACGTTTGCAAATTCTGAAAAACCTCTGACGCGCGAACCATAAACAAATGGAACGTGCTAAATTCGACAGCGTTTCGGACCGTTTCGTACGCAAATATAGAAAGGCGTCGTTGCTGACAAATGGGTTTGCTTTAAAAAGTGGGGCCTTTAAAGGACCGTAATGGCGTTTGCGTTTCGTTTACCGTCTTCTTAGCTCCTTGGCGATAGACGCTGCGTGAAAGCGACTCGAGAGAAACCCTCTTCTTGTTCGCCGTCCCTTGTCGCGAACAGACGCTCTGTCCCGGCGTCTATGTATTCGATCACGTAAACCTCGACCTAGCGTCGCGACGAGTCCTTTGCGGAACTCGAGACGCTTCGCTAATTCTCCGACATCACGTACGGACGAGTGCTTCTCTCGATTATATGTCAACGCCCTCTCGTCTGAAATTAACACCTTCGACGGGGATTAATCGTGTTTCGGGTCATATCCGAAAAGGACGTCCGCCTGTTCGACGATGGGAATCGATCGAATTGTATTTATAGACGTTCGAGAAAATCCCAACGCGATACAGAAACAAACATTTACGCTGGAAACTTTGTTTTATTTTATTCCACGATTCGTAATAATTTCACATTCGTTTACCGATACAACGAGACGAGGCATTGTCCTAGAAAAGCATAGATTCGACGTCGTAATTTGCCATTGTTACGAAGGCATCCATGAACGGAAAATGGCAATAATTATTGAATACGCGTAAACGAATCGGACGAGCAAGTCGCTGCGCGAGCTGCGGCAACGACCACGCTATTCTCACAAGCCATTTTGCAGATGCGATCGCTTATAAACACATCCCGACCCTATTAATCACGAATTTCAACGGTCGGTCGGACGCGTTAATTGAATGAATCGATACGTCCATTTGCACGAATTAATCCATTCGATACTTCGCTAATAGGAATAACGAAGGTATTTCGAATCGTATCGTGCCGTGCCACTGCACAAGGATTAACCAAATTCGTTGAAACCGTCTGGATTTTCGAGATGGGTCCTCGAATTCGGTAATATATGTTTGTTTAACTTGCTAACGCGTTTTCCAAACGAATCATTATAGTAAAAAATAGTTATTGCTACGAACAAACTGAATAAAAAAAGAGAGTAGAATCGTCTACAAGAACACGATGATGTTCGTGTAGAAAAGTAATACGATACAAGTTAAACGGAAGCCCGATAACTTTGATTTTTACCGTTTCGTTTATTAAATTACAGTCACAATGACGGGGTCATTACGTATTCGAATCTATATTAGAATTGCCCTGCTCGTTAACATATGTAAATGTATTCGAGCGTTCCGTCCCGCTCCTTTTATTACATAATATTTAACCGCGTTAATCGTGCGCCCTAAAAAAGCCAATATCGTTAACATAATGTTTCGCGTGGAGTTACACCCACTGAAAGCCACGAACCGCTGACGTTAAACAAACCTCGTTCGATTATCTCGTAGTGGCTGAATACACGTAACGGCGCTAAGTTTTCTGCGAGAAGGCAGCCGGCCGTTCCACCTTTAAGAAACGATCCGAGATTTAAGAATTAATGGTTGCCCGCCAGAGTTCCGAGACACGCGAGGATGCATGCGTGAAAGTATTTCACACCTGCTTGCGTAAATACAAGAAGCCTGTGGATTCGATTTAATTCTGAGGTCGCGTACCGAACGCAAACACGAGATACATCGGTTTGACGTCGTAGCAATAAAATCTCGATCCATTAATAACACCGGGTAACGAGTTTCGCCTTTCCAAAGCTCTCCGTGGCTCCTTTTCTTTCCTTTTTAACGTTTGAAAACTGCAGCTACAAGCTTAACGTAACTCGAACATTTTTCTAACACGGAAATCACGATTTTCGAACAATGGAAACTCGTAGGACGTTTTACCGAATCAGAAGTCGATTAAAAATAAAATTAAATGAAAAAAAAAGCTATACAAGCTGCAAATATCAACCAGTTTTAGGATGTTATTCTTGTAAACTTTTAAACGTTTCTCCACAATATCGTTGAAATAACGCTCGAGTACATGCAATAGC